CTAGGTGGCTCATGGGAACCATATCAATCAAATAACACAAATATATGGATGCCTGGGTGGCTCAGTGGTTGAGCATCTGCCTTTGGCTCAAGGTGTGAACCCCAGGGTCCTGGGTCCCAGGGTCCTGGGATCGAGTCCCACATCAGGCTTCCTACAGGGGCCTGCCTCCCTTTGCCTATGTCTCTGCCTCTCTCTCTCTCTGTATCTCTCATGAATGAATAAATAAAAATCCCTTTTAAAATAACACAAATAAAATAACAGTAGTGACAGCCGGCACAGGGAGAGATGTGTGGTGTTATGAGGGTAAGAAGGGGAACTGACCTAGACTCGGAGGCCCAGTATAATTTCTCTGAGGAAGTGTTTGTGGAGCTGAGATCAGAAGTGAGGGCTGGCATGAGCTAGACAAAAGCAGGGTAAGAGGAGGGGAGATCTGCAAGGAGGGGCAAGGGAGGCAGGATGGTCCTGGTGAGGAGAATCTGTGCAAAGATGGAGAAGAGGTTGGTCTGTATATGTTTTATCATCAGGTCTTCCAGACCTTGCACAAAAGGCCATCACATAAAGGCATCCAATGAATGAACAGAATAAATCATTCTATTTGGCCTGTAGATTCTCCACACTTAAGAAATTCTTTCAGCATACAGAGTCACTCTCCACAGTCTGCTCTGTTATCAAGCAGATGGCTTCAACCTTTACTGTTTTATGAACCCAAATCTGTACTCTAAGAGTCATAAATATTATAGTTAAGCAAGTAAAAATTAAATTTCCATGTTATTTTGCTTGGTTGTTGGACATCTGGCATGGGTAATTTATCTTCTCTGCTGGAAATCGAAACGGATTTAGTCTTTATTATGCTGGCCGTAAACATGTTGCAAATTATAATTTTACGTTGCCATTAGTTGTATTTTGGGGTAATACAAATTATAGGGTCATCCACTTACTTTTGGCATTTAGTAATTCTCTTTCACAGTAAAATCCCATTTTGTTTGCTTCATGGTCCCTAAGAACCCACCCACATTAACTGCAAAAAACATTTCACTAAAGCTGAAGTGTTACTTTGAGGGTGACTCACACTGTCACACACAAGCTCCTACAACCTTATACAGCATAGGGAAAAAATGTTTCATCTCAGTTTCCAATGTTAAATGTAAAAGAACAAGGTGAGTTTTGATCTGTGACTCGAACCAGCAGGGGTAAACTCCCCAGTGCACCAAAGCCGGTAAGTGCCGTGCCGGAAAGCCCGCTGGACAAAACTGAGTTTGAACCCTGACTGTGCCAGGAACTGGCTGTGGGTCAGTTACTGAAACTCTTAGTTCCAGTTTTTCTCATCAGGAAAAAAGTAAGATTCTTGTGAAATAAAATGTGGTCTATGAAAGTTGCTTAGTGAATGTTTATAGTTTAACCAGATTTCCCTTCTCCTAAGGCCACAGGGTAGGTGGAGGGGTGGGGGGTGGGGGGGCGTATAGAATCTCCTTAACCTTGACATCAGCTCTGTGAAAGCGGAGACCGTGCTGGGCTGTGCCACGGTATCATCAGTGCTTAGCGTCAGCCCTTAGTCAGTGTCCAACAGATTTTGGTTGAATAGTTGAAGGTGAAGAATTTCAAGTTTTAAAGATTTCACCATTTTCAGTGGACATAGAGTGGAGAGATGAAGTAAGCCCCTTCACCAACCCATGCAGCAAGAGTCTGTGGAGGCTCTAATCCTAGAAACCTGGTGTCATAGAAACTTAGTTATTGGCAATCCAACAATGGGGACATCTCTGGGGTGCTCTCAAAGATGCAGGAAGCCAGAGGGGCAGATAGTCCTTCTCCCTGCTTCCTGGCACCCAGAGTACCAATCCGTGGCCTGCACTCAGTCAGGGCTTGCAATCCTGGACAGTGATGCAAAGCTGAATGATCAAAGGATAGGTCTGGAAGCTCCGAGGGAATGTCTAGTGGTGGTGATACCAGCAGAGAGGCATTCTCACCGGACCATTCCCATCATGACTTTCATTGTACTTTTGGCTGCCTGGCCTCCCTTAGCTCCTGTTCATCTTCAATCTCTGAATGCCTAACATTCCCGTTGTTTCTATGGGTTACCTGCTGGTATTCCAACACATTTCCTTTCTGCCAAGCCAGCCACGTTGATTGCTATTGTTTGTATCCGATTATTGGGGTCCTAGTCCCCTGCTCCTGCTCTTGACTCTGGTCTCCCAATGTGATCAACCTTTAAACACTGTTTCTAGGGATATATTTCAAATTTACTTTTGCATAGTTCTCAAAATCTCTTCTTCTAGACAGTTGATATATTCTATGATTCTTTAATATCCTTGGCAATTCTATAGGGTTACATAGTCTTTTCTTTTTTAAGATTTTATTTATTCATGAGAGACACAGAGAGAGGCAGAGACATAGGCAGAGGGAGAAGCAGGCTCCTCACGGGGAACCCCATGCGGGATTCGATCCCAGGACCCCAGAATCACGACCTGAGCCGAAAGCAGATGCTCAACCACTGAGCCACACAGATGCCCCAAGTTACATATTCTTTGATGAAGTTGAATTATGTCTCTTCTGATCACTCTCTCTTTTCACCTTTCTCAAACCCTAAGATTCATTCCTTGCTCATCTGCTCTTTTTCACTCTATACTCCTTTCCTGTTAGGCTTTATGTGACTTAATAAGCTTTTCTGGTGCACACACTAACTACAGTGCCAGATATTATGCTGGAGACAAGGATCCAAAGCTGAAAAAAGAGAGTCAGCACCTTTGTGAAGGTAACACTCGGCTGAATAAAATGTAGATAAATGCCAAGGCAGGCAACAGAAGCCATCACGCTTCTCAGAACAAGGAAGGAAACATCAGAGGCATATAAAAGCTTGGGATTTGATTCTTTGGGACATGGCTTTCTGCAGCCAGGAGACGCACGTCTTCTGCCAGTGGTCACTAGGCTCCGGGCCGTGCCAGGTACCACGCAGCGCCAAGGTCAAGGTCATCTCCCTTTATTTCTCTCCCATCTTTCGAGGATGTAAGCCCATCTATCTCTGAGTGACAACACTTCCTTTGTAATACATGAACAACTGGAGAGACATTCTGGAACATACAGCCTGAGACAGCAGCAAGCTGCTCCACTGAATGTGACAGTAGTCAACCCCCTTTGAACTGGTTTTTTTGCACTTGCGTTACTGCTTCGCCAGAAAACCAGGCTGGCACGTTTTTTCCTTCCATTCTCACTGCTGCCTGTAATCCATCATTACAAAGAGAGGCCTTAAAAACGGCACTCGAGGGAGACATTATTTCCTTCCCATTTCTCTCTCAGAAAGAGCAACTTATAATAGGAGGGGGAAATGGCATTCAGGTTAAAGGATTATAAATAACAAGAAAGAATCTGCTTCTTCCTGCCCCACCCCCCCTTAAGATGCTAAGCCTCAAAAGGACTCTTGATTTTTTTTTTTAAAGTCTTTCCCCTCTTGGCTTGCTCGAAACATTAATATTATATATCTGGTGATAAAGCTTGAGGATTTTTAGTGAGAGCTGTTAAAGGGAGCGGATGGCCAAGACCGTTTCCTCTGCTGAATTAAAATCAAAGGCTCATAAAAACAACTTGTGAGGTTAGCCTTGTGGTTAGCTAGTACTTTAAATTTGTGATCCCCCTGATGAAGTGAATTGACAGGGGGACTATTGCCTTTTTCTCAGACGAAGCTGCAGTGCTCATAATTATGATTCAAAAGAGAGGCAGGACCAGGATTCCTGAGGCCACGGAAAAAGCTCAACAGAACAAGGTTATAACGGTGCGTGAATGTCAAGGCCTGGGTCCAGCCACAGAGGGGAGAACAAGAGGAATGGCATTTTTTTTTCCCCTATAAAGGTGAATTTGGGCATTTGAAACAACCTGCTGATTTTCATTTCATTAATCAAACAGAACTGTCACTGAGCACACAACACTTCCATCAATGGTCCCCACATTTAGCTGGTATCAAATGACTACTGAGCTACTGCCTATTGTCAGCCACAGGCGAATACTTACTGCTAATGCTGAGAACAGAAAGTCTGATTTTTTTTTTTTTAAATTGAGTTCTCTAGGTACATTCCATCTGATTTTTCCTCCAGCTCAGGGTTGCTGAGTCGCTGCTAATTTAAATAGGTGAGAAAAGCCTCGGGAGCAGAGTTTCCAGTGAAATGCGCAGATGTGCATGTGGCTGCAGATGCAGCTGTGGGGCGTGGGGGGTGGGGGACTGGGCTTTGTTCACTTTCCTTTCATTTTTGGAAACCGATCATACACCCGACCTGAAGCCTCCTTATGTGACTTCTCAAAGTGTGAAGACGACTGCTCACTGGCTGTACACAAGGAGCTGGAGAAATTATCACTCATCATGCTGCGGTTTTTCAAAGAGCTGAGGATATGATGTCTCCCTGATGAAGAAGAGGACTTTGCTCGCGTCACATTCTCCCTCTCTCCCTTTTTAATGGGATGTGACAGCTTGAATTCCGAAGGAGGCTTCGCAATTAGGAGATCGAACCACAGCGTCTGTGCTAACAGCTCCCGTCGCTGCCTTAATTAGGGTTCCCCCTTCCATTCCTCTTTCTCGGGAGAGGACAGGGGACTTTTTAATTGGGGCTATTAGAAGTTCTCTTTACACAATGACACCCTTTGCTAAGTGAAAGCTCCAGCAAAAGCCATGCCCACTCTGCAATTACCTCTTGCAATTCTGAGGAATAATGGTATCTTGTCTCATTTAAAAATAAATCTGAGGCTTCTTCCTTATTGCTTTCTCTCCTCTGCCCACTCACATGAATTTCTTCTTGCCAATTAGGCAAACTTTCCATTATTTAAGGAGCTAGTTTTGATCATAACTGCCCCCTGATAATGAGACATATTAAACTAGATTTCATTTGCCCGCAGCTCCTTTCTTCCAGATACAAGGCTAATTTAAAGGAGCTCAGATCATTCGATCGTGGGTCTATAGTAAAATGGTGAAGCACTGGGATTTTCAAAGCCATGCTCTGCTGGCAGGCCACAAAACTCACCTGAAATAACCTGCACGTGCAGTGTTTGCAGTTTCTCAGAATCCTGTCCTCCTAAGAGAGCAGATGTAGGTTTGTATTTATGACCTAGTCCAAGAAAAGAAATTAAATATTTAAATGAAAAACAAGCACATTCTTAATATACATTCCCCATGTTGATTCAAAAGTTTACTGAGGAAAATGGGCCATTTACAATAGAGCCAGGAGTAACAAGACATTAAGGGCTTTCCTCATTAAGTGGTTTTCCATGAGCAAACACAGGTTCTTTCTAAAACAAGTGGTTTCTCCACGACCGCCAGAGCCATCATGCCATCGCCTCTAATGAAAACCACCAGGTCTTATGTACAGAATATTATATTATTTACATTATTATATATACATAGATATTTACAGAATATTTAATGCATATTTAATATTTAATTATTTTAATGCCCTAAATGGCGAGACATGTTTCATTACTTCATACGCTTGGATTTGTGAGGCCGCTAAGCCCGTCATTTGGGTGAATGTTTATAGGGATGTTCACTCCTCACTATTGGTTCCTTTCTAGACATTTTCTCTATCTGGCTTCTATCTCTCTTTCCTGATATGCAGTTATATGGCAAAATAGATCAAGAAACTCAAAACTATGCACTAAGGTATCAAGGACAATGATTTGAAACTGCTCTCAGAAATATCTGCAACAGGGGCACCTAGGTGGCTCAGTTAATTACACATCTGACTCTGATTTGGGCTCAGGTCATGATTTCGGGGTCGTGAGATCGAGCCCCATGTGGGGCTCTGTGCTGGGTGTGGAGCCTGCTTAGGATTCTCCCTCTTTCTCTCCCTCTCCCCCATCCCTCAGGCCTGATATTCAGGCAGTATATGTATGGGTACTTACTAGTAGTGTCAGTATATGCATAGGTACACACGAGAAGGTTTGGTATATGTGTGCAGGTACACACCACTAGGGTGACCTGAGTAGTTTCCAGTCAGTGTCCATCCTGATAGGTGGATGCCTGTGTCATGCTAGTTAAAAATTTTAGTATCATCCCTATTGCCTGATTCCAATGACACATTATACCTCTGCCCAGCCAAAACTCTACTGACACCCTTATACTTATTAAAGATTCATTCCCATTCACCCTCATCACCTAGAGCCACTCTGTTTAAGATCTCCAACTCTGAAATTCTTTATCACCACTCCTTATTCTTCTGTCTTCTGTCTTCACGTTCATTAAGCGTCTGCTCAGCCTTCCCCCCTATTTGCTTGTCTAAGTAGAGAAAGACGCACAAAGCTCCTTGAGTGCCAATACTGTGTCTTACTTATGCTTATATTCCTTGGGTTACCTAGAACTGCCACTTATAGTAGGTGCTCAATAAGTGATAAATTGAACCTTAAAAAGAATGTAAATCTATAAATAAGACCCTAAATGGATTGTCCCAAACAATGGATTTATCCCTCAATACTTACTCTGCCATTTCCACATTCTTCTGTGGCTTTCAAGTATTTTATGGATAGTGAGGATGAGAAAAAATATAATAACGACTAGAACTAAAACATACCAAGTCATCTTCATGGAACAAGTGAAATCTACAAAGAAAAAAAGTACTATTAAAATACAATAAAAACACATGCATACACACAAAAAAAATACAATAAAATGATGCAACAGAGAGAGGCCTTATGGTGGAGTAGTTGTGTTCTACTACATATTCTGGCCCTAACTGAAACACTGAATATATGATCATCTCTGTTATAGGGTCATTTGCTATCTTTATTTCTTCTCTGATATGTCAAATGATTGTATTAAGTGAAGAAATTTGACCAGAGAGCTTCCAGGGATCCCTCTAATTCTGAAATTGTAGGATTAATTTCAGTTACAGATTATTTATGTTGGTGATAGTTTCCTTGGGGTTGTTATCACAAAGCTAAGACTACAACAAGCTGAGTTCCAGAGTCAAGGCCATTTGTAATTATGGCCCTCAAATCAACAAAGATATAGTGAGTGTAAGAAAGATGTAGAGGAAAGAAAAATGCAGAGAAAAGGTTGAACTGAGCATATGAGAAGCCAAGGCAGATGAATAATCAGAACCCCCCTTCTGCATGGACTCTCTGCAATGATCAGAGCAGGTGCACACATCAATTAAACATGCCGTTACCCTAAGTAAAAACTTGTTCATTCAAATGACAGTGAGGCACACGGGAAGGATAGTCCCCATCCAACATTAGCACCATCTCCTTTGGTCTCATAAAGATACACTGGCCAGTGGACCTAGGAATCAGTGACATAATGAAAGGTGACCTCGCCATGTCCAAGATATAACTGTCTACTGTCTTCCCAAGCCATCCTATGTACCCTCTTTCTTGAACACAAAACACAACACTTGCTCAAAGTTAGCAGGATATATAACTTGTTTATTCCCTTGGATGATTGTCCTTGTGGGGTTCACTATTTGGGTACCCCTTTCACAGGACCTACCCCCATGAGCAGATGTACATCATATAGCCATCCAACATTTATTTAGAAAAGAGGCTAAATGCTAAAAAGGTAAACGTTGACTGGAATGGCATCTCTCAGTGTCCCCCAAATCATCCCATGCTATTCAGCTACAAACTTGCATTCCTTGCTCAGCAAATTAAAAGCCTGCAGTTAATTGGAATAGAAGCCTTACAGTGCCAGCAAGAGCCATGGTGGGCCAATGCTCAAAGTGTTGTTGGGCACTGATCAATCTATGAAAAAAGAATGACACATTCACCAACTTTATCTAGCAATAGCAGAATGTGTGCAACTGGGGCCAGGCCAGCCTGTACAGCCACCAAAGCACAGATGCAAATACAGAAGAGTTTCTCTCCCACATCCCATGCTGCCTACCTATCCCCCATCCCAGCAGTCATCTTGGAGAGAAGCAAGGGGGAACAGACAGGAATCTGAAAAAAAAATCTGAAGAGAGAATTTAAATTATTGTTTCAGAGTAAATTTACCAAATTGGACTAAATTTACTTTCACCTGCTGGGGGATAGGGCTTTTAAGGGAGATCAAATTAGTCTCTGCACAGCAGAGTAAAATACACATAAATGTTATATCTTCTACATGTGGCAAATAGATATACTTTTTCCAGAATACAAGACTATATGTTTGTTTAGACTGTTATCTTTCTGAATTATGTTAACTACTATTTCACTTTGACTAGCATTTATGGATTTTTTTTCATTAACAAAGAAATTGTCTTGAAATCATAATTATAGAAATGCTTATTTTTACTTCATGTTTTAGAAAACATAAAAAAGCAATTCGATGGATACATGGAAATAAATATGATTTTTAATATTTGTAATCTAAACCTCTTTATCTTTCACATTTCATCATTGTCACCATCTCTATGCAATCCTTCCAAACCCTACCTTCTAACCTCACTCCTAAACCCAAGAGAATTGACCTCTGTTCAGATCATCTCAGATCCTCCCCGTATCTTACACACATACACACACCTTGAAATAACCCCTAATTGCAGATGCTGTACGGCCCTGCAGACTAACTCACAAAAGAAATTCCTTTGAAGCCTTATATTTTACTTTAAAAATGCATACATATTACATAGTTTATTTGCTTGGAAATATATATAATATTTTTTAAATAATTACCTCTATAGGAGGGCACTTGATGGGATGAGTACTGGGTGTTATACTATATGTTGGCAAATTGAATTTAAATAAAATATTTTTAAAAATAAAAATAAAAGAATTACTTCTAAAAAATTAAAGCTTTTAAAAAAGCACTCTAAGGCAATACGAAAGGCTTCCATATGTCTGGAGTATCAAAAAGCTCAGCAACTTACTCTACCATAGCTTCTGTTACGCTGGACACACTTCCTGAATTGTTTGACATTCATCTACTTTTGTGTCCCTAATGCTAGCACATTGCTTGCCATACAGTAGGCACTTATTAAATGGTTATATCATAAAATACTCTTCAAAAATAGATTTTATAGGTAAAGTGGGGCATACTGCTTAGTGGAAAGGATCAATTGTGGTAATTCCCAATAGGGTGCCTAGGAAGCTAATAAGCTTTAGAAGTAAGATATGTGTGATGTTTATCTTTTGGGCTACTCCCTTTCCCTCAGAGCTATCCAGTGACCCAAAATGCCTCATCTGCACACTGCCTATCTCTATGGCTTTTCATCAAAAATCTTTATTTAGTCCTGGTTCTCAACTCTAGAAGACATAAGTCTATCCAAAGTAAGATTTTAATAGCTCATCCCAAGGTACATGGATATTTACATTTAAAAATAAATTTCACCAAAAATAAATAAATAAATTTCACCCTTTAATACTCTGTGACACTATGAAGGTGTCATAGTGTTACTTCAAGCACAGCTAAAAGGCATGTCCAAAGTTTACTCTGAGGTCTTGCTAGTGCCCCTCAAATCACAACCCACAGATGCCTTCTCTGTTTCTCAGTACAGGTCTAGCTGTACTCAGGAAAAGCAAATTTTGAAAGAAAAAATATAAACAGGTAAAAGGACTAGCTTCTTTCTAGTCATATTCATCAACAAAGTCTTCAACTATTTAACTTTTAATGAAGTTAATGGTTTAGTAAACCTTTATTTGATTTTGTATCCAATTCTCTTTTCCCTCTAACTTCCTTAAGTACTTACTTTTGACATCCATTTCTAGGTACAAAGAAATGTATGTACAATTGTTCAGGATTTCCATAGTCCTACAAGTATAGTTCCTAGACTTTTCCTTGGGTGGATCTTCCTCCATGATTGCTAACCTTCTCGTGTGGGTTTTTAGATTACAAGTAATGTTATATTCTTCCAAGGGATCAAATGTAGGAGCTGCAGTGAAGTTAAAATGTCGACAGGGTGAATGAAAATCATTTGCCTTCACTTCTGTTGATCCTTTCATGGTAAGAACTAGAAAGAGATTAAGAAAATATTATTTGCAAACTAGTAATACATATTAAGAAGACACACACCACTCAAAACTAAACACCATCTTTCCTCTACAGATAAAGTACTGTTTACATTTTTTTTTTAATTGTGAAAACCAGGTCACAGTAGGGTTGAAATAGAATTGGAGTATCTCAACAAAATAGAGACCTTTCTCTGAGGACTTGTGGGACAGATTATAATGTTCCAAGCCAGAAATGTCCCCATTATGCCCATTCTGAATCCCTGGCCAACCAGAGAAGAAGGAGAAGGGAGACAGAGGAAAAGAAAAGGAAGACAAGGAAAGGAAGAGAAAGAATAAAATGATTGCCATTGTGTCAAGCCACTGAGTTTCCAGGTGGTATGTTATACAGCCATAGCAACAGGCATAACTTATCAATGCAGTGTCTCACATTTCACTTCAGAGAAGTAGCATCCATGAGTTACCAACCCTCAAAACACTTCCTAGTTCTCTCTCAGCATAAAGGTTTATCACCTCAGCTTACTCTCTGGTGAATTTGACCCAGAACCGTGCAATAGTTACAGCACTACATGAGCAAGAACCCAGAAAAAGATCTTTTGTCTTTTATCCAAATTCCATGCCAAGAAATCTCATTCCCATCCTGAAAGAATGGGGAAAGATGCCAATATGGAGTGATATAGAGGGCAATTTCACTGAATAGGGTATAAATAATAAATTTGATGCTTGGACCTGAGGCCACAAGTATATTTTATGACTACAAATGAGTCATTTAATTTCTCAATGATGAAAGCTGATTTAATTTAATTAAATAACATATATTGATCTCAAAATAGATGCAAGATTCAGTTAGACATGGTTATTCTTTCGTTTGTTTATTCATTAAAGAAATATTTATTGAGTGCCTAATGGCAGGCATTATTCTAAGATCTAGAAATATCGTGAATAAAGACAAAGTCCCTAACATCAAGTGGCTCACTGGACAGTTAGACAAGTAAAAAGACAATTCATACACAGTGGATAAATGTTAGGCAGGAGAAGGTACAAATGTATCAAGGATTCAATGACCTCTTAGGAAATCAAAGTTTGATTTTACTTGAGAGCCTACAGGTTTACTTAGATTTTTTTTTCAATTAAAAAAATGCAATACCTCTGAAGAGAGCATGCTAAATAATCTTTTAACCATCAAACATACATAAATTATGGTGGAATTTTGATATCTTTTAAAAGTAGATATTTTGTTTTAGATAAACTAAACCAAGAACGAGTAATATCCTAAAGCCCTGCAAGTCACTCATCAAAAGCCACACTGCTGAGTGTTCTGATACTATTGGATTTAAAATTGTAATATATCATTATTTTTTTAACAGACTAAGGTAATTTATTCTTGATAAATTCTATTATCATTTTACCTTTTGATGTTCGTTCCTGAGAAATAAAATCCATGCTCTTTTTGGACTTACAAGCCAAACACGGAGAGCACATTTTGAATTCACCTGTGATGCCTTGGCAAATTCTGGTGAAGTTTTGAAAGTTGGAGTGATTTAGAAAGATTCCCATAATAGTCTGAGTTTCTCTTACTGGTTTCAGAAAAGTCACAAAAGAAAAATTTAAAGAGGGGAGTGAATAATTGAAATTAGGTTGTAAACATACTTCCAGACATGACAGCTCCAATATATTTCCTATAAAAGAAAAAAGTTTGTTTACTATGAAATGAAATACTGAGGTTTTGTCATTCAAATAAATACACAATAAGCTCCCAGTTTTTCTTAGATGGATACAGTATATTTCAGTTTGTCAGTGATATGACTTTGTTTTTACATGAATTAACAATATCTACTTCACTTAAATATTTCCTTTTAAAATATGTAAATATTCCCTATTAATTTTCAGAGACGAGAACTAGAGATATTCTTTTTTTTAATAAATTAATTTTTATTGGTGTTCAATTTACCAACATACAGAATAACACCCAGTGCTCATCCCGTCAAGTGTCCCCCTCCGTGCCCGTCACCCATTCACCCCCACCCCCCGCCCTCCTCCCCTTCCACCACCCCTAGTTCATTTCCCAGAGTTAGAAGTCTTTATGTTCTGTCTCCCTTTCTGATATCTCCCACACATTTCTTCTCCCTTCCCTTATATTCCCCTTCACTATTATTCATATTCCCCAAATGAATGAGAACATACACTGTTTGTCCTTCTCCGATTGACTTACTTCACTCAGCATAATACCCTCCAGTTCCATCCACGTTGAAGCAAATGGTGGGTATTTGTCATTTCTAATGGCTGAGTAATATTCCATTGTATACATAAACCTCATCTTCTTTATCCATTCATCTTTCGATGGGCACCGAGGCTCCTTCCACAGTTTGGCTATTGTGGACATGGCTGCTAGAAACATCGGGGTGCAGGTGTCCCGGCGTTTCATTGCATCTGAATCTTTGGGGTAAATCCCTAACAGTGCAATTGCTGGGTCGTAGGGCAGGTCTATTTTTAATTCTTTGAGGAACCTCCACACAGTTTTCCAGAGTGGCTGCACCAGTTCACATTCCCACCAACAGTGTAAGAGGGTTCCCTTTTCTCCGCATCCTCTCCAACATTTGTTGTTTCCTGCCTTGTTAATTTTCCCCATTCTCACTGGTGTGAGGTGGTATCTCATTGTGGTTTTGATTTGTATTTCCCTGATGGCAAGTGATGCAGAGCATTTTCTCATGTGCATGTTGGCCATGTCTATGTCTTCCTCTGTGAGATTTCTCTTCATGTCTTTTGCCCATTTCATGATTGGATTGTTTGTTTCTTTGCTGTTGAGTTTAAGAAGTTCTTTATAGATTTTGGAAACTAGCCCTTTATCTGATATGTTATTTGCAAATATCTTCTCCCATTCTGTAGGTTGTCTTTGAGTTTTGTTGACTGTATCCTTTGCTGTGCAAAAGCTTCTTATCTTGATGAAGTCCCAATAGTTCATTTTTGCTTTTGTTTCTTTTGCTTTCGTGGATGTATCTTGCAAGAAGTTACTGTGGCCAAGTTCAAAAAGGGTGTTGCCTGTGTTCTCCTCTAGGATTTTGATGGAGTCTTGTCTCACATTTAAATCTTTCATCCATTTTGAGTTTATCTTTGTGTATGGTGCAAGAGAGTGGTCTAGTTTCATTCTTCTGCATGTGGATGACCAATTTTCCCAGCACCATTTATTGAAGAGACTGTCTTTCTTCCAGTGGATCGTCTTTAGAGATATTCTTATAAACCCTAACATTTTAACCATTCTCTCCTAGGAAAGCTCTAGAGGGCACGGAGAGGGACACTTGACGGGATGAGCACTGGGTGTTATTCTGTATGTTGGTAAATTGAACACCAATAAAAATTAATTTATAAAAAAAAAAAAAAGGAAAGCTCTAGAGGCCAAAAGTTCAACACCAATTTAACTGGTCTGAAATCTCAGTGTTTGCATTGACCACCATTCCTTTTTAAAGCTCCAGGGAAGGCTCTGTTCTTTGTTCCTCTTCCAACTTTTGCTGGATGTTGGCATTCCTTGGCTTGTGGCCACGTCCCTCCAGTCTCTGACTTTCTGGTCACGTTGCCTTTTCCTCTGTGTCTCTGTCTTCTACTCTTCTGTGTCATATCCCTCTGCTTCTCTCTTATAAGCATCTTATATGGGACACTTCTGATGGGATATAGTTTCACCTGGATAATGCAGGATTATCTCCCTATCTCAAGATCCTGAAGTTAATCACATCTGTGGAAATCTTTTTTCCTCATAAGGTAACATGTACAAGTCCCAGGCATTAGCACATGATATCTTTGGGTAGCCATTATTCAACCTACCTGAACCTCCAAAGATGAAATGTAACAAGATGACATCATAATTTTTATTTTTGTCTGAAGACAAACATCAGATATGGAAATGATGATACAGAAGAAAGAGCACTGTATTCAAAGTATAATACAAGGACTCCAGTCATTAGGCAAGATACTTGGACAATTAATCTCCATAAGTCTTGTTTTCTCATCAGCAAAATAGAGAAAAGTAACTATAGATCCCACTAACGTCATAGGGTTATAGTAGCTTCAAGTGTATGGTACATATGAAAACATTTTTGAAATTTGCACAAATGTATATTATTTAAAATTCAAACCTATCTCTACAGTCAGTTGGTTAAGCAACTGACTCTTGGTTTTGGCTCAGGTCATGATCTCATGGTCATGGGATCGAGCCCCACCTTGGGCTCCAGCCCCACATTGGGCACCATGCTGAGTGTAGAGTCTACTTGAAGATTCTCTCCCTCTGCCCTCCCCCCACTCATGTATGTGCACTCTCTCTCTAAAATAAGTAAATAAATCTTTTTACAAAAGATTTTATGTATTTATTCATGAGAGACACACAAAGAGAGGAAGAGACATAGGCAAAGGGAGAAGAAGGCTCCATGAAGGGAGCCTGATGTGGGTCTTGATCCCAGGACCCCTGGATTACCACCTGAGCAGAAGGCAGATGCTCAGTCACTGAGCCACCCAGGTGCCCCAGTAAATAAATCTTTTTTAAAAAATTCAAACTTATATTCCAAAGTGAAAATTGAAAATTCAACCTTCATTTAGAGTAGGATTATCTGTGATCCAATTCACACAAGTAATTAAAGCTCACTGTATAAAAATCCAGAATCCCTATTTGTCAGTGATGATCATTTAAGGAATAGGAAACCTCTCTCTCAGGTATTCCTAGTCTGACAATCATTTGCTAGTATGAGAAAATAACTCACATGCTCAATTGTACCTTTATGTGGCTTTCTTTACCATTTCTTGTCTAATCATATAGGGCAAAATAATTTTTTAAATTTTTTCTAAATAATGTGGAGCACAATGAAAGTATCACATTAGTTCTTACAATGATTACTGCTAGTCATACAACTTGGTTCAATCTTAAGAGTAAACCAGGCTATTGATTGGTATTAAGGAATTTTTTTTTTTATGATAGGCACACAGTGAGAGAGAGAGAGAGGCAGAGACACAGGCAGAGGGAGAAGCAGGCTCCATGCCCCGGGAACCCACATGGGATTCGATCCGGGGTCTCCAGGATCGCGCCCTGGGCCAAAGGCAGGCGCTAAACCGCTGCGCCACCCAGGGATCCCAAGGAATTTTTTATTTGTGGAATTTGTACTCTAATAGTAATTCCTTAAGTATCTCATTACGATTATTATATTTTTATCATTTAATAAAATGAGAAGCTCATTACCAGCCCTCTACATTTGAAGTTGTTTCTGTAATAATTCACATGTGATTTCCAGCTACAAACACGTTTCATACTTGAGTTGCTGTAAAGGTTTTTTGGGGGGAGAAGATGGTATTTTACTCAAATTCACAATTTTATGTCTTAATATATTTACAAACAAAGTAGATAAACAAAGATCAAATTGTAACTAATTTTTTAAACAATTGTCTTCAGAATAATATCCCAGGAAAGAGGCAGAAATGTACCATCTGATGGAACTCTATAACCTATGGGGTTTTTTATACTACTAAAATACATAAAAACATTTCTTGCATGTTTCTATTTTACTCACTGGGATTTTTCATCTTACAAAATTTTCCACTTCTTGAACTTGTATGCCTAAGATACAACCAAAATAGAGAAATTTCTACTGTCTATATTATAGTCCTATTACCCAATAAGTGACCACCCAGCTTTCTAGAATTAATGACATATTTTTGACTTTGAGGTCATTTTATGATGGTTTTTAAACCCTAGTTTTAAATTATTCAGTTGGAAAGGAAATAAATAGAAGATATATATCCTTCCCTGGCATAATTTTAAGAAATAATGAATTCTATTCAATCATTTTTGTTATCAGGTGGACTATATTCTCATCTCCATAAACAAGGATATATGAATTTAATTACTGCCATTAATATTGCTGGGAGTCAGACATCTAGCTTCTTACTCCCATAGAAAGAAATGCATTCCAGAATTATTCCAGTACTATGACTGCAATCTCTAAGCAGAGTATACAGAATACTAAATAGAATTAGGAAAATATATTACAGTATAGGACAAATGCTCAAGTCAATCTTTTTTTTCTTAAGGAAACCTGACAGTAAGGCTAAAGAAATATCAAATATGTTTTCCTTTTAATTTTTTGTTATAAAACTTTATCATATATAAGCATATGTAAAATGTTGGTGCCAGTTAAAGAATAACAAAGATAAACGCCATGCATCTATCATGAAGATTAAGGATATCAATATTACCAATATCTTTGAAAAACACTATCCATTCCCATCCCTACATAATCCTTTCACAGAGGTTAACCACTATCATGAATTTTGTGTTTATCACTCTTTTGCTTTATCTTAGAGCCTTTCCAAAATGTATATATTCCTAAATAACATTGTTTCATTTAGCATATTTTAGACATGTGTGTGTAGATATATATATGTATATATATATATGGAATAGACTTTATGTATTCATCTATGACTTGCCTTTATAAATAAGTTTTAGTCATGTTGCTCCATATAGCTGTGGTTAATTTAATTGTCTGTTGTGTTCTTTTGAATGAATATACCATAATTTATTCATTCTTCTGACAGTAAACATTTGGGTTGTTTCTATTTTTGCTGTTATGAATAACGCTGCTATGAACCATAGCCCTCATATATTGCTAGTGGGAATGTAAAATAGTGTAACCACTTTGGA